TCACTGGTTTTTAAGTGTAGAATTAGGTGATTTCTAATTCTCATGCTATGGAACATTTCCATTACCACGAAAAGTGTTCTTGTGCCTTTTTCAAGTAAATCCCTGCTCTCCATTTCTGACCTTTGGCAAACACCAATCTGCTGTCACTATAGTTTTACCACTTCTAGAATTTCATATAAATGCAATCATACAATAAGTGGTCTTGTATATCTAGCTTCTTTCACTTAGGTTAATGCTTTTGAGATTCATTCATACTGTTGTGTGTATCATTACTTCATTTCTTTTTATTGGTGAGTAAGTAGTCCCTTATGTGGCTGTCGCAATTTGTTTATCCATTAATTTATTGATAGGTATTTGGGACTTCCAGTTATATGGCTGTTATGAATTAAGTCACTCTTAATACTGAAGTACAGTCTTGGTGTGGATATATGTTTCTATTTCTCTTGGGTAGAAACCTAGGAGTGGGATTTCTGGGTCAAATGATGTATTCGTTTTCTTTTTTTTTTTTGAAATGTAATTTTTTTTAATTTATTTTTTAAATTGATTATGCTGTTACAGTTGTTCTATTCCCCCCTTCATTCCCCTCCACCCTGCCCCCCCATCCCCACCATTACCCCCCTTTAGTTTATGTCCATGTGTCTCAAGTCCTTTAGGTTCTATATTTCCCATGCTATTCTTGTCCCCCCCATCTATTTTCTATCTACTGTCTATGCTACTTATTTTCTGTACCTTCTCCCCCCATCTCCTCCTCCCACTCCCCTGTTGCTAACCCTCCTTGAGATCTTCATTTCTATGTTTCCACTCCTGATCTAGCTGTTCTTTTAGTTTGCTTTCGTTTTAGGTGTGGTTGTTAATAACTGTGAGCTTGTTGTCCTTTCACTGTTCATGTTTCTTTAACTTCTTTTTCTTAGATAAGTCCCTTTAACATTTCATATAATAAGGGCTTGGTGATGATGAACTCCTTGAATTTGATCTTATCTGAGAAGCACCTTATCTGTCCTTCCATTCTAAATGAAAGTTTTGCTGGATAGAGCAATCTTGGTTGTAGGTCTTTAGATTTCATGACTTGGAATATTTCTTTCCAGCCCCTTCTTGCCTGTAAGGTCTCTTTTGAGAAATCTGCTGACAGTCTGATGGGGACTCCTTTGTAGGTGATTGTCCCCTTAGCTCTTGCTGCTTCTAGGATTCTCTCCTTCATTTTAATTTTGGCTAATGTAATTATGATATGCCTTGGTGTGTTTCTTCTTGAGTCCAACTTTTTTGGTACTCTCTGAGCTTCTTGGATTTCTTGGAAGTCTATTTCCTTTGCCAGATTGGGGAAATTTTCTTTTATTATTTGTTCAAATAATTTTTCCACTGGTGGTTGTGTCTTCCCCCCTTCTGGTACCCCTATAATTCGGATATTGGAGCGTTTAAAGATGTCCTGGAGGTTCCTAAGACTCTCCTCATTTCTTTGAATTCTTGCTCCTTGACTCTTTTCTGTTTGGCCATTATTTGCTTTCTTCTGGTCCACTCCATTGATTTGAGTCCCAGTTTCCTTTTCATCTCTATGGGTTTCCTGTGGAATTCCATTTATTTCCCTTAGTTTAGCCTTCATATGTTTCTCTAATTTGTGGCTATAATCAACCAGATCTGTTAGGATCCTGATGACCAGTGTTTTAAACTGTGCGTCTGAGAGTTTTGCTATTTCTTCGTCGCTTAGATTTATCTCTGGGGCTTTGAGGTCTTCCTGTGACATTTTTGGTCTGTTCTGGCCCTTTAAATGTGAGAAGCGGCGCCTTGGACTCCCAGGTCGCTGGGTTGTGACGCTGTATGTGGGGGCGTGGTCAGAGCGGGGAAATGGCGGCGCCCTCTATTGCCGCAAGCCACGGGGACCGCTGGGCCCCGGTCCAACCGCCCACTCCCTCGCCTGTCCGCTCGCCCGCAGATAGGCAACCGCAGTCAACACGCAGCACCGCCTCCCCACTGTCTCCTCAGCAGTCGCTCACCCGGTGGGTTGCTCGGTCGCTCACTAGGTCCAATCCTGGGTTTGGAACCCGTGCGTCTGGATTCGCTCGTCTGGATTCCGCGCCTGGGTCCGTCCGACCGGAGTCCTCCTGTGCAATCCCTCACCAGAGGCCGGTTTTGCCCCTTACCGGTCGGGCTGAAGAATTTGTTGTTAACGGACTTCCGAAAAGTTCAATTTTCCGTGTTCTGGTTGTGTTTTCTGATGCTAATATTTAGTTGTCCCTAAACTTGGTTGTGTGAGAAGGCACGGCACATCCACCTATACCTCCATCTTGGAGGAAGTCCTGTATTCGTTTTCTATAGTTGTGTAACAAGTTACCACGAACTTAAGGGTTTAACACAACAACCATTTATTATTGCACAGTTCTCTACATCAGAAATCTGGGCGGGCTCAACTTTGGGTCTCACAAGGCTGAAAATGAGGTGTTGGCTAGCTTGAGCACTTGCCTGAGATGTCTGGGAAAGAACCTATTTCTTCCCCTGGGGCCTCTTCTAGCTCTTTAGGATTGCCCACATTCTTTCTCACATGGCCCCTCTTCTCACCAGCAGTGAATGTTGATCCTTCTCACATTTCTAGTGTCTCTGGTTTTTCTGCCACCAGCCAGAGAAAACTGCCTTCTCCGGCAGGGCTGGTATGGATTGATTAGACCCACCCGAACAATCTCCCTTTTATCATCTAATACAACATAATCATGGGAGCAACATCTGGGAGCAAAGGTCTTGGGACCATCTTAAAATTCTGTCCACCACATACACTAAGTATATGTTTAACTTAATAAGAAACCATCAAACTATTTTCCAAAGCAGCTGTACCATTTTACCTTCCCAGAAGAAGTAAACAAGAGTTTCACTTGCTCAACATTCTGGCCAACATTCTGTATCATCAGTCTTTTTAATTGAGCTGTCGGTGAGTGTGTAGTGATACCTCATGGTGGTTTTAATTTGCATTTCCCTAATGACTTTGATAGTGAGATCTTTTCACATGCTTATTAGTGCATAAAATTTTGTTTGATGAAAGGTTCATGTACTTAAAAAAAAAGTTGAAACCCACTAGCTAGGATAAACTGTGAATCTCTTAGATCTCTTGGGGGGGGCACAGTCCATCTCCTCTGCTGAAACAGAACAGTCGCTGTAGGTAAATCATCAGCATAAGCATTGTGCTCTGTGAGTCGGTAAGAGATGAAACAACCAATCACAAATCTGAAATTATGAAATCCAAATTGTTCTGAAAACCAGATTTTTTTTTCTTGGTTGGCACCAAAATCCATTGGTAGCAAAACCTGACATAAACATCTGTGTTTTTTGTTTTCTTGCAGAAGGACCCTCTGTTGTCCCATGCCTGTGTCGGCTGCCTGGAGGCCTTGCTTGAATACCTGCACGCCAGGAATCCAGATATGGGTAGAAACCCTCCCATGAGGGAAATGGGGCAGGGGGGCGGGCAGCCTCTGTCACCTCCTGCTGCAGACTGCCATCCCCTTGTTCTGCACATCACACTAATTTTGTTCAATTCTTTTAACAACACTGCATGCAGTGTTGTGTCCAGTATGCAAATGAGGACACTGAGGCTCAGAGAGGTCAGGCAACATACCCATCACAGTCACGAAGTTCTTAAGTGGCAGAAATCTTCCTGTTGCCTGCCTCCCTCAATAGTGGGGTACGTGGTATCCCTGAGCCAGGCCACAGAGGTGGTTAGAAGCCCAGGCAAGAAAGAAACTTCCTTGGGTCGCCTGTCCAATACTCTGCCTCTAGCTGAGTAGCCCTTTTTGAGCCAATAGGAGAAGGTCCTTTTTAGTAATGTTCCAAGATGTTTGGAAAAGCAGCACCAACAGCCCATGGTGACTGGTGTTTCCTATAGCACTACATGTGGCCTCCCAGCCCTGGAATCGGTTTTTGCTGTTTACCCTCCTGGATGCTGGAGAGAATTCTTTCCTCAGGCCTGAGATCTTGAGGCTCATGACTGTGGTAAGTGTAGAAAGGATGGTCTTGTGGTCTGAATAATGTCATGAGTTGGATGGTCCTGAGGAGGCCAGGGTCACCTTAGTTTTAGGTAACCCTAATCCTCAAAAGGTAAAGGGGGCTGGGTAGGCCTTCACCCTGCAAAAAGCCTTCACTCTGCTCAGAGAATTCCTCTCAAGGCCCACATCTCCCCACCCCAGAAGAGCTGGATATTCTCATTCACTCCCTCATAAAACATTGACCAGAGCTGGCCTGCCTCATGCCAGGTCCTATACTAGGGACCAGAGATGCTGATGAGCCAAATGCTCTGCCTTTAAGGATCTCTGTCTAGAAAAGGAGATAGAGAAGGAAACTATAGTTAAAGTGTGACGTTATTAGCGGTTGAGTAGAAGAGATGCTAAGGGACTGGTTCGCAGTAAGTGCCCACTGAATAAAGAACAAAACATTTGGAGAACTTCCGGGTTAGTGAACACTTAGAGATTTGGGGCGTGGAGCATCTGGTTAAGCATGGAAGCTGTGTGTCCTTACAGCGTACCTTGACCTGTGCATCTCTTCCATTTGGCTGTTCCTACGTTATATCCTTTTTATAATAAATTGGTGATCCAATGAGCAACAAAGGCCCAGAGAATTTAAATAATTTGCTTAAAGTCCACACAGAGACTTTCTGCTCTCAGGCAAATCAGGGATTCTGGCTGCTTCTACCTCGTAGCTCCACTGTCTCAACACCGGGGCTCCATGTTTGGTGCTGAGTGGCAAAGGAAGCATGGAAATGGCATACTGGCTCCTGCCTAACTACAAATGGATGTTCCAGGAAGGAGGGAAAAGCAAGGTGTGAATGAGTAGTTGTAGTGCCTCCTACAAGCTGTCATATAGTAGGTGCTCAATAAAAAGCAATGTTTATAAAAACAAAAACAGCAAGCATGTCAATGACAGTAAAGTGGATCAGTGAATAAATCAGTGCCAGGTTGGGAAGAGAATAAGTGACTCTGAAGAAAGGAAGTACTCTGCTAGTGCTGGGAGGAGGAGGTGAACAAAAATGTAGTCAGCACGAGGAGCCTGTCTTTAATAAATTGAAAGAACATTATTAGTGAACATAACATTTTAGCTGAGGCTTGAAGGATTAATAGGCAAAGAGGAGGAAATGTAACCCAGGTAGTGAAGTGAGAGCAGAACATAATGAGCCTATGGTGGTATGTTTGGGTAACCACACATAGTCCATTTTGGCTACAAGTGTGAGGTGCAAGGCCAGGAGTGGGGGGTTACTGAAGGGCCACCTTTCTCAGGGTCTGAAGTCTGCCTCATTTACTCCACTCTCCCATGACACAACCCCACCCCTGCTCACTAACTCTGACCTCCTTGAAATCAGGGTGCTGTGGGCTACAGATCTGCATTCTCAGCCCAGCACTGAGCACAGCAGGGGTGCAGGCAATGTCTGTGAATGGAAATGCTGAATTGTTGCACGTTTGGGGCTTCTTGTGCCAGTTTGTGCGGTTCCAGAGCAGCAGCATCCTCTCTCCCGAAGAGGTGGGTCTTGTTCTGCAAGGCGCAGCTTTGGCCGACCTCTCCACCCTCGCGAACACCACACTCCAGGCTCTGCGTGGTTTCCTCCTGCAGGTGTGTAGGGAGGGGATGCGTGTAGTTACTGAGGCTAGACCCTTCATACCCTCATCTCTATGGAGGGCGGGGGCTCTGGCCACAGCAGCCAGTGGTGAGTCAGGAGTACAGGTGGTGGAGGGTAGAGGGCCTGTGTGGAGTAGGCACTGAAAAGGCCTGTCTTCCCTGTCTGCTTCTTCCCTCAGGTCCAGAGCATGGGCCTGCTGGCTGATCGTAGCGTGGCCCAGACGCTGCAGGCCTCCTTAGAGGCCCTTTCCACCAGTGCCTCCTCCACCCAGCCCCCGCTGCAGGACATGCTGTATCCTTTCTTGCATCTGGGAGCTTTTGGTCTGGGCAAGACCTGTGCTATGAGCTACGCTATGAGATGCTGTGGCATCATACTGCAGGACAGAGAGGTGCACTGTCCACAGCTTTGTCCTCTAAAGCAAGGAGGGGTCGATGAGAATAATAGTGATAGCAATGACAATGACTTGTTCTGTTTATTAATAAAGATCCTACCAAGGGCCAGTCACATTACATGTACTGCATCTCATCCTCATAGCAGCTAGGAGTATTAATGTATTTGTAACTTAGACCAGAGAAGTTAAATGACATGCTCAGGATCACACAGTGGTAGCACTAGGATTTGATCATAGATTTATTTGTTCCCAAAGGCACATCACCAAACTATGGAAGGAGCTAGTTCTTCCCTAGGAGCTTTGGAGAAAGTTGCCCAGTGCAGTTGGCACAGGTGCTTCCCTCTGTCCAAGATGGTGCTGGGTGACTGGCTTGTTCCAGAGGGAGCCTGGGGTCATGGGCAGTGGTCAGAGACCCTCTGGGGGTTGTTGTGGTGCTCCAGAGACACTTTGGTCAGGAGGTGTGTGTGTATGTGTGTGGAGGTGCTTGTTCCCCATCCTACTGGCTGCCTTCCTGGCCCTCTTTCCTTTGTCCATTGTGACAATTACCTAGCCCAGGTGTGCAGGTTCCGATTTTAGAATCCAGCCCACTCCAGCCCAGGAGCACCTCTGTTCATCTGACGGTTCTTATCCTTTTGGGGCCCTGGAAGTGTGGTTCTTCCATGGTTGGCTCTACCTCTCTGTTGTTCTACACTCATGTTTTGCTGCCAGCTGCCTGGGAGGGGTGGCTGTATCCCTGTCCCACATCAGAGGCTGACCCTCAACAACTGAAGACCCAGAAACAGAGAGGACTGAGACCTGGAGAAGACAGTTGGGGCACCGTGGTTTGGGGAAATGGATGACAACTGGAGCCATTCATCTGGAACCATTTACTCATCAAGAAATAAAATGATAACATTCACATGCCTGCGTGAAGTCTCCAAAAACCTTTCACTCTCACCTATCTTGGCCCCTTCCAGCTGTTTTTTTAGTCAGGATGGATGGCCTTCTCAGGAAAAGAGGGGGCGTGATTTGTCCTAACAAACACAGAAAAAGCACCACTGCTAGCTGGGTGCCTCAGTTGTACCCAGAAAACAGTATCAACCCTCAAGGCTGGAAGGCCCATGAGAGGCCATGTGTTCCTCACTGCTGTTATTCAAGTGCTCTCAGAGGCATTCTACCGGCTGCCTCACCTCCGGTGGAGGTGGAGAGAAGTAATTTCCAGGCAAGGAAGCTGAGCAGATCAAATTCTCAGCCTTCCTAGCTGAGCGGAACTGTACCAGCCCAGCCCTTCCCTGGCTAAAGTAGGGCCTCTGTTCCTTTAACGGCTCTCTTTGGAGCTTCTAAGCCTGCGCTCTGTAACTGCTCACTCCTGTTCCGCGCTCAGCTCACGGGACCTGTAGCTCCTTTCTAGAATACCTGCCTGCGAGGGCCCCAGTGCCAGGAACTGACCCTACCAAAAGTGGTTTTGACTCCGTCCTAATGAACGGACAGGGAAGCCCCGTATACACAGGCCGGAGGGGCGAGCGGGGGATGCGCCAACTCCACACTGCTGGTTACTTAAAAAAAAAAAAAAAAAAAAAAAGTGGTAGTCAACGACCCACTAAACTGATTTTGCCGAAACCCTGTCACGTGACGACAGTTTCGGGGAGGGCGCAGGGCCCCAGTTTGCTGACGCACCCTCTACGTTGGCGCCGACTGAACTTCCTCCAATCCGATCTTTATCGAGCTCCACGCGCCGGAGCCCCAGCGCTGGGTGGACGGGACACGGCTTTAGAAATCCTCGCTCGGGATCAGCCTGGAGACTCGCGAGGAGGAGCCGGAAGTGAGGTCACTGTCGTGGGCGTCGCGGCCCGCGTTCATTGGCCTAGAGTGGCGCGGTGGGCGGGACGGCGCTTGGCGGTCCTCACGCTACCGCTCCTTGGTAGTGTGGGGTTCTACTCTCTTGCGGGTGTCCGGGCGGATCTAAGAGCCGCATTCTTAGGGCCTGCGGCTGCCGCTTCCCGCATCCCTGGCCTGGTAGGTTGGGGTCGGGTCCCCGACAGGTAGGCTCCCAGTGGGTGTGGAAGAGAGAGCGAGGGCCCTCGAACCGGCTGCAGGCAATGGGAGTTATGACTCTCCTCCTCCTTTTGGAAAGATTCCTCTACTCCCGGAGCCCCTAAGGCTGGAGTCAGTATTCGGGGTCTGCGAGCCCAGACAGCTGGCTCAGGCCCGGCCCGCCACTACCACGCTACTCTTGCAGAATGGGTTCAGAGTAGTTCGAGGAGCCAGAAAGAGCTCTAGGGACGCACGGGCCGGGAGCAGGATTGGGAGGCTGGAAAATGGAAATAACGGTAGGGAAGACAGACCCTTCCCCACGCAATCTTGTTTTTTTTTTTTGCTTTTCTTTCCCACTCTTCCCCTACTTCAGTCGTCTGCTGTCTGATAATCCCCCGCCCCCAGGTTCTCTTCCATCCTGTGTCCGGTTCCCTGGAGTCTTGGGTGTGACATTGGAAGGTAGGGGTTCTGGGTGAACTTGGACTACTTTTCATTCTCTCTGTTTCAGTTACATCACCTGTGTGTGGTCCGGAGGGTTCTCTCGGTGACCTCTGCAGGATCTCACTGTCAGTAACTGTGCATCTCTCCCTTGGGACAGGTGTCCTGGTATAACAGTGACCTTCTCTGGGATAGTCTATGCTCATTTAGACTCTTGGTTTAGCCTGGGAATGGTTGAGTGACTGGGCAGTTACCTCACTTTTCTGTGCCTTGGCTTCCATGTTGGTGAAATTGGGCCCCTGTCATCTGAACTGAGGCCATATCTGACCACCGTATTTAATATTGCACACCACTAACTTCCTCTCATTCTTCTGTGCTTGTTTTACAAGTTTAGTGGTTATCTCTTACTGCTACTAGAGAAATAACTGCAATGAGTGTAGGGAGTTTTGTCTTATTCACTGGTGTATTCCCAGCTCTAGAACAGTGACTAGAACATGGTAGGTACTCAATAAGTAATTGGGGCATTGTTGCCTGGATAGGAGTAGGTGTTGCTTGTGGTGCCTGAGGTTCCAGAGTAACATCCCTTTTAGCCCAAGACTGTCCTGCTTCCCTTCCTGCTGTGTGTCCCTTCCTTTATGAAAAAAGTCAGGAAAGGAAGGAAACACTAGAAGTTTCACACCCCCTCTGACTGCCTGGGCCTCCTTGACCAGATACCTTCCTGGGAGGCCAGGATGGAGGGTGGGGGGTTGAGAAGGAATGATATTGACCAGCCTCTTATCCCTATTTTACATTGAGGAAGCTGAGGTTCAGAGAGGCTGAGCAATTTGCCCAATGTTCCACAGGAAGAGCTAGGGTTCCAGCTCAGAGCTCCAGACGCTGAGCCCCTTGCTCTAAGCCAGCATTCCTGCATCACTGGCATTTATCTTCTCTCCTGCCTACTGTCCCATGGTCTTTATTTTGTCTGCTGGTCACAGGCCCTGGGCTAGGGACTGGGACTCCAGGGCTTCCCAAAGTTGGGTTCTTGGTACTTGGAGGCTATGCCATGTCAGGGGAAGTTGCCATTCATTTCCTCTGTTTTACAGAACACCAAACTCCAGGTCTCCCTTTGTTTCTCTGGGTTACTTGCCTAGCTCCAGGGTCGTGGATATGGACCTCTTTCAGTTCCTGGTCTTCCTGTTTGTCCTGCTAGTGTCTGGGACAGGAGTCACAGGCTCCCTGAGGACCTCCCTGGACCCGGGTCTGGAGATCTGTATCCTTGAGCGTTGGAGGTGAGGTTCATGAGATGTGCCTGAGAGGTCTGTAATGAGGTCTTCATACTCACAACCTCGTGGGGCATCCTAGGGATGGATCAGGCCCAGCTGATGGGAACAAGGGAGAACAGGTAAGGTAGTCTCATCAAATCTTGATCAAGTCCACTGTCTTCTGAGTCTCAGTTTCCCTATTGTGTTCAATGGAGAAGATAAGGCACATCTCAGAGCCACGAGGGCTCTGAGAATTACACATATGTGTCTAGCACCTTGTGGGTGAGACCCTGGGCAGGGACTCAGGCACTGGTATATTGGGCCACATACTATGGGCCAGGCCTTGGGGGCACAGAGATGAGTCAGGAGCAGTCCCTGGCTTTGAGGCCTTCATAGGCCTCACACTGTACTTTGTGATCAGTGCTTTGATATGGAACGTGGGAGAAACACGGTGTTCTGATTTCTGAACTGGATCTTGAAAGAATAAAGACTCATAGAGAAGGGTTGGAGGCATAGTGTGCAGTGTGAGCAGAGGAGCGGAGGTTCTGGGCGTAGCAAATGGTTTTAGAAGCTGGTGGAAAGACTGTGGGGAGGAGTGGGCAGGGGCCAGGTCCTGAAGGGTTGTATTCGGGCTCTTGGGTGTGGGACCCTTTGTGAACTGGACAAATGATACATTGTAGGATGCGAGGACTTCCCAGTTCCTTACTTCCATGGGGGGCTGGGCCTCAGGCACGGGCATCTGTGGCCTTTGCAGGTATTTGCTGGTCAGGAATGGGCCCTTTGGGTTGTGACCACTGGATTATCCAGGCAGGAGTGCTGGTGCCAGCTCCTTAACCTGATGCTGCTCAGACAAGAAGCTGTTTGAGGTGAAGCGGCGGGAGCAGCTGTTGGCATTGAAAAACCTGGTCCAGCTGAATGATGTCCACCAGCAGTACAAGATCCTTGATGTCATGCTCAAGGGGCTCTTTAAGGTACATACAGGCATGGGGCAGTTCATGGCAGACCTAGTGTTTGATCTGGGAATTTTTGTATCTTTGATCAACTGAAGGAAGAATTCCTTAAGGGGATGGGGTTCGGTGGGGAAACTACGTCCACAAAAGATCTGAAGTAGAGTTTAAGTAAACGGGGCTGTGGCTGGTCTGTGAGGCATCTGCAAAGCCACTCAGCCAGGTGGGGTTCCCTCAGGTGCTGGAGGACTCCCGGACAGTGCTCATCGCTGCGGACGTGCTGCCAGATGGGCCCTTCCCCCAGGATGAGAAGCTGAAGGATGGTACGGTCTTCCCAGTCTCTCCCTCTCCTCCCTCCCATCTCTACTGGTTTTTCCCCTTCTGTGTTTGTCACTCTTCTTTTCTCTCCAGGGTTCCCCTTTGGTGGATAGGCACTTAGTATGTGGTTCTCCAAGAATTCCTGGGCTTCAGGGCCAATTTCTATGTCCCTGATACACATGTGTTCCTCGGTGCAGCCCTCTGCTCGGAGCAGGGGAACCAGGAAGGAAGTTCTGCCCACTCCCACTCCAAGGATCCTTGCCTTCTCCACCAGCCTAGCCCTAAGGACACAGGTGGCAAACACAAGGCCCTTGGGCTGAATCCCGCCCTCCACCTTGTTTTATCTGGCCTGGTGCCTTGTTTCTACTTGGTGGCAGCGCTGAGCATCTTGCCCCTAGTTAAGGAGTAGTTACATTTATACAGTCCTAAATTACATTCGGCCCTTTGAAGGCAACCGCAAGGCTGTGTGGCTGCCGCTGAAAATGAGTTTGACACCATGCATAAGTGGATAGAGAAGGCAAAGGTTGTTCCCTTTACAGAAAAAAAAACGGGCCTACTGAAGTGACTGGGCAGTGGGGGCAGTTGTCCACACTCTTTACTACTGTTCTAAAAGCCCCAACCCCCTTAAAATTTTTTTTTGAGACTACTTGGGACAAACATCAATAAGTAAGGTAAAAGAATATTCTGTGTCCCTTTCCTTGTAAGGTAAAAGAATATTCTTTGTCCCCTCTTCCAAGAATTTCTCTCCAGTGGTAGTTTTCCCAGTAATGGGTAACATTTTAACAATAAAATGTCTTAGATTACACTGAGGGAGGTTGGAAGTAGCCTTTGTGTAGTCAGTGGTGGACGCTTTTACAGATATCTCTCATCTCTGTAACTGAGGAAGTTACGCATGTCTTGGCTCTTCAACCAGGCCAACTCCTGAGTTCAAGATTGTTCTAAAGCAGACCCCGGGGTCTGGCCCCCCTTGTCTCAGACCCAGCTTGGCATATCTTTGGGGGGCCTGCTGATCTCTGTGTGTGGCCTGGCCCATGCTGGAGGGCTGCCTAGGCCTGATCTCCAACAGGAGCTGCCGCCAGGGCTGGGTCTACACTTACATTTCATGCCAGCCTGGCTCGGGGGACCTGCCATCATGATGGACGCTGAACTCAGTCTGAACTGACTGACCTATTGACCAGAGGAAAGCTGTTAGTGGGGAAATAGGTGAAATTCAAGTAAGGTCTGGGGATGTGTTGTGTCGATGTTTATTTCCTGGTGTAGATTGTACAATGGTCATGTAAGATGATAACGACAGAGGAAGCCAAGTGAAGGAAATTTGTGGTGTATTATGTAAGTCTAAAATTATTTCAAAATAAGTACTTAAGCCTTTAAAAGAAAATAAAAACGAAAGAATATTTTTAAAAGGCAAACCCTGGTATGTTCCATGGCCATCCTACTCGACCTGAAGCCTCACTGACGCTGCGGTTGTGCTAACACCAGGCTCTGGACATTTGGATACCAAGTTGCAGCGAGTAGGCCCCAGCAAAAGCCTCATGTGACGCATCTGCTTCCCTGTGCAGAGTGACACCCTCCTTTCATCCCCACAGCAATGAGTCCTCTAAGCCATGCAATACAGGGGAAAGAGCAGGGCCTTGGCAGTCACAACGGGGTTTGCAGCCCAGGTTGCCACTCGCTTTCTCCCGTGTAAAATGGGAACAGCCTCCCCATCTCCCTCTAATGGTCATTTGAGGATTCAGTGATTTGGTGGATGTAACGCCCTTAGCACGGAGTATACCTGTGGGCAGCAGGCATTGGTGCTTTCTCTGCTTAGTGGGTTTGTTGGGCTCCATTCTCTGGGAGGTGCCTGGGGCTGGCCAGGAGGGCAGTAGAAGGGCATCTGCCCTGGGCACTCATCAGGGTCTTCTCGCCAGCTTTCTCCCAAGTGATGGAGAACACGGCTTTCTTCGGTGACGTGGTGCTGCGCTTCCCAAGGATCGTGCACCATTACTTTGACCACAACTCCAACTGGAATCTCCTCATCCGCTGGGGCATCAGCTTCTGCAACCAGTCGGGTGTCTTTGACCAGGGGCCCCACTCGCCCATCCTCAGCCTGGTAAGGACTGGGGTGGAGGCAGTCCGGAGCCCTGTCTCCCAGAGTCCCATGAGTCTCGCAGCTGCCTGCAGCTGGGCCTGAATGTCAGCCCTTGGTTGTATTTTCTGTGAGCAGCCTTGGGGCACCTTGAGGTGCTATCCTAAGGGGTTCTGTGCTGATTTCAGTTGCTAGGGGTCATTCCCTAGCCCACATCTGCCCAAGTCTTGGGCCCTGGGTTCCAACATGGAGGGAGTGCCTCATGGGTGAGCAAGATGCAGGAGAAGGCAGAGGATGACTAGCTTTTCCTCATCTGCAGATGGCCCAGGAGCTGGGGATCAGCGAGAAAGGCTCTGACTTCCAGAACCCATTTAAAGTAGATCACACAGAGGTGAGCTGTGGGGGCTGTGTCCATGTTTGTCTGCCTCTGCTGGGCCTTGGGAAGCCAGGTCCTGCAGGGGGTTGGGTGCCTGAGGTGGAGCCTGAGGGTCTTAGACTTGGAGCCAGACAGGCCTGGATCTGGGTCCGGGAACTGTCACTCACTCACTGGTGCCTGCGGGCTGCTCCTGTGTTAGCCTCGGGCTGCCTGTCTGTTCACGGCATGGGGACCCCAGCTGTAGGGCAGTCAGAGGCTGTGAACACTCCCTTCTCCGTGTATAGTAGACATGGCATAGCAGGTACGTGTGAGGGAAGCCAAGGTAGGTCAAGTCATGCTCTTCTCTGTCACTGAGTCTGTGATCACCCAGCCAGGCTTCTGTCCTACATTCTTGTATCTGTGTCATCCTAGGGGGCTGAGGTGGGCTCTGAGGGCTGGAGGCTATGGGGTAGGATGACAGGTAAGGGCACACACAGTAGAGGAGACGATCAGAGGTGGCATGGGGACAGAAGGGCAGGAAGGAAGGGTTGGAGAACTGGACTCCTCAAATCACAGGCTCACCCCTGGTGCAAGAAAGGGAGAGTGTCAGGGTCTGCAAGGAGCCTCAGATTTTCCACCCTGCTTGCAGGCTAGCAAGCCAGCCTGCTACGGTTGCATGGATACTGACAAGTCAGAGACATCAGAATGTACTATAGCACAAGCAGTGTCCAGAGTAGGGGCTTGCTCATGTTGGTTCCTCTTGTTCCCTGAGTCCCACAGGAGTGACAAGAGGGGCCCAGGTAGATGCCACACAGGCAGTGGGTTTACATCGTAGCTGAAGAACACCAAGCTTGGCACATTTACCACTTTTATAGTGAACATTGCAAGGGGGGGGGCGGTGTGTGGTGAAGACACCACCTCATCCTTCAAGGTTCTCTGCACACACAATCTTGAGAAATGGCCCAGGTGCAGAGTGGTCAGGGCTTTGCATTCTTGGTGCATCCAGCAAGAACATGCAGGGACATGCAGGGCCACATGGCTATCTCCCCAACAGTCAGCCCTTCAGCCCTGCGTGTTGTGGCTTAACTCGGACTTCCAAGCGAATGTGTTCTCCGTCTCTTAAGTTGACCAATAGAGGCTAGGATCGAATTTGTTCAATTTGTCTCCTACTGCATGTAGTTAAGGCTGCCATCAGTACAACTAAGCAGCAGGATGAGGCCAGCCTGCAGTATCGATCTCAGCCTTGTGCTCCAGGGTCCCGGACTCAACTGTGATCAGTTTTGGGGGAACCAGTAGGTCTTACTCTAGACAGTCAGATGTGGTCGAAGGCCAGTCTCTATTCATTATTACCCACCCAAGAGTTTAGACTGACCTGCTGGTCTTCGTTGTTATTGCCAGTGATTACAAGGGCAGTAGATGGAACTGCAGCGACCCTCGACCCCAGTGGAGAAATACTCCGTGGCCCACTGTCTCCCACGTGTCACACTGGATATGGGACACCCTTAGATTGTTTGACTTAATCCCAAGTGTCACTGTGCAGTTGCAGCCTCTGTGGCCCTACATGACAGAACCCCAGGCCATTCAGGCATCAGGAAAAGGAGAGGGGTTTGGATCGGGCAGATTGAAACAAAGCTGTACTGGCCTGTATGTCTGCACAGGGTCACTCGGGGGCTGCCTTTGATGGCATTAGGCACACCGGAGTGGTTCAGTACTGACCGTGTCCACGTCAGTTTTTCTGTCACATGCTTGAGAAGGACACGTCCAGCAGCTGGTCAAATGGTCATTTGCAGCTGCAGATGGGGTTCAGTGGGGGAACTACATGCACAAAAGATCTGGTCAAATGCCCTTGGCTTGGGCAGCCCCTGGGACTGTTTCGCCAAGTGGCAGTGCTGGATCTAAGGCACAAAAAGGATTAATTGTTCACATTTCCTTGGACCTAAGGCGTTATGCTAGATGCTGGGATTATCGCTACAAGACCGGTGTGTCACATCCTGGTCATCCCCCACTCTCACCTAGACCTTTGTCTAGAAGAGTCAGATGGGAATGAGACAAGGGCATCTTTACAGCATTTGCAGAGGCATATCATATCTCCATCTTGGTCCACGTGGGCCACTGTGGGGGCACTTAGCAAGGAATATACTCAACCAGTGGACATTATCCTAATGATCTTGGGCCATTCTGTTCCGACCTGGGACTCCAGGTCACCAAACCAGAAGTGCAGAGTGGGCTTTGTGCCAGCCCGTGGTGGCAGGTGTGCTGCCATATCCAGTACAGTGACGCCTGCCAGTGCTAGCTCGATCCGCCGTTTGATGCTGTCGGTCTCATCAGAGAAAGGGCCTCACCGTGGGCATCTAAGCGAGTGACACAGACTGTCCAGATGTTTCTATGGTTAACAGCCCCAAAAAGGGATGGCCGTCTTCAATGTGCCAGTCTGTAGTCTTGTGGGCAGCAGACCAAATGGTAGGAGACTGACAACAGCTGGTAAAAATGCAACACGCCTGGTCACGAGGAGCATTGTCTAGGTAAAGGTGACGGCTTTAATTCAGATCATTGGCTGGCTGGCCTTTGTGGCAGCTGGTCTTTCATCCTTGTCGCAAGGGCTGATGGCTCTGCCACCTATAGACAGCCGTGTCAGGGGTCCCTCACTGCACTCCCAGGTTGATGATATGCTAGGTCTCTGTGTATAGTTGCGCTCTATTGTGGCAGTGGCGAAAACCTACAAAGCAAAATCAGAAAAGGGCAAAGGCGCAAGGGCGAAGTTAGAGGGGAACCAGGCACAGGCTGCCCGTCCCCTCCCAGTGGAGTCACAGGGCACACTTAATTCCCCCAGCAGCAAGTTGTGACAGCACATTTGAAAGTTGTCTGTTGGGGAAGCTCATTAAAGACTAATGCCCAAGGTTGTTATTGGGACTGGTCACACAGGCACCCTCTGCCTGGCACACACCAAAATTCCAGACTCCCGGGAGGAAGCAGGCGTTCAGCATAAACCACGGCTCAGGCCCTGTGAGCTGCTCTTGTCGGTCGGAGTGGTGGGACCCCTCCCAGGATCCCAGGTCCCAGATGCCAGGCACAGGCCAACCTTGGAAGCAGGCCTTTCAGAGGGTAGCAGTGAGGCTGGCTCCGCTAACCCTTCTCTGCAACAGCACCATTGGCTAGTAATTCGGCTGAACTGTCAGTGGACCAGGACTGAGTATTCAGGGTAGTTTGTGAGTTTAGGGTTCCGTTGAATCAGTGGTTTGTCACCCCTTCGTGTAAGCCCAAGATAACGTGTTTGGTCAAGGCTGCTCACACCAATCACAGTCCTGTTAAATGGACCTGGTAAGGAACAGTCAGCGCTGGGTTCTCGGTGGACCTGGCAAGAACATGCAGGGACGCTTAAGACCACAGCAGATTGCCTTTCCCAATGCAGAGTGCCCACAGGGGTGCCATATGGCTGTGACACTGGCTGTCCTCACCCTGCAGATCATACATAGGTGCCCTGCACAGGTAGGGGGTGAGAGTGTGGGCCTCAGAGAGAGTGGGCTCCAGGTAGGTTTAGTTTAGCTTCATCGTAACGTGCCCACTTTGCTTGGACAGAACCAGAGCCGCAACATGCTTTCCTTACTTCTTGTCTAGGGACAGCCCCAAGGTTTTACACATTAATTTTTTTTTTAATTTATTGATTTTAGAGAAAGGAAGAGAGAGAAAATTGCTTTGTTGTTCTACTCACTTAAACACTCACTGCATGCTTCTTATATGTGCCTGGACCAGAGATCAAACCTGCAACCTTGGCATACCAGGATGATGCTCTAACCAACTGAGCTAGCCAGCCAGGGCTTACACACTTTTATGTCCATCATGGACCGGTCTACTGGCATAGCCCAGGCTTGCTCAGCTCCCATCATGCACTTTCTCTACACTCACGAGTGTTCCAGGGGCCTCCCCCACTGTATGCAGCTATCACAGGCTCCAACTTGTGTCAGGCTGAGTGCTGGCCATTGTCCCTCTCCCTGCCCTTCAGATGCTGATAGTCTAATGGGGGAGGATGCAGAGAATCACAGTCCCAGTCCAGCGTGATCACTATGTCAGTGGAGGAGGGAAGTGATGAGCGCAGGACCCCTGAGGGGGCCTGGCCCAGGCCTCTGCTGGTACCTGGGGAAGGCGGTGGGATAAGTGAGAGCTGCCAGACGTACTCAGGGAAGACCTTCCAGGCAGAAGGACCAGCTTAAAGGCTCAGGGACACGGCCCGTTCCTTCATTCCACATTTAGTGAGCACCTACTGACTCGCTGCTGCTAGAGAAACAGACCAGCCCTACTCTTGCTGGGGAGGACGTTCTAGTTGGAGGAGACAGTCAATAAAAATACACTATGACAGGTGGCAACCATGGCTGTGGGGGAAAACGTGGGGGGGATGGTTAAGGAATCCCGGGGTAGGGTGGAGGTACAGTTAGTTGTCTTGCATGACGGGATGCAGAGGGTCTCAATGAGAAGATTGGAAGGAAGTAAGAGTCAGCGTGTTGTCGGGGATGGAAGGAGAACTTTCGTGGCTGAAGGAACAGCAAGTGCAGAGGGCCTGAGTTGGAAGCTTGTTTGGAGGAGTGAGGAGAGCGAGGAGGTGAAGTCAGAGTTGTTGGCCAGGTCACCAGGCCCTTGAAGGGCATCCAGGAGCCTTGGCATTTACCCTGAGAGACGTGGAGAGCAAGCAGGGTGATTGGCTCTGACTTACCCCTTTAAAGGATCTAGCTGCTGCGCGGGATCTAAGGGAGTAGTTTGGGGGACCAGGGTGGAGACAGGGACACTGGTGAGGAGGCTCCTGTGCTTGCTGCGTGGGAGTGGGCAGTGGCTTGAACTGGGTGACAGCCGTAGAGCTGGTGCGTATGGTGAGATTCTGGTTCCGCTTGAAGGCAGAGCCAGCAGGACTTGCTAAGGAAGCAGATGTGCAGTGAGAGAGAAATATTAAGGATGACTGGAAGATTGTAGGCCTGAGCACATGGGAGAATGGGGCTGCCGTTTTCTAAGATGGGCAGACTGGTGGGAGCAGGCTGGGGGCTGGGTGGGGAGCCAGGCTTTGTTTGTGGACCTGGTGAGCATCTGAATGGAGATGCCAGGGAAACAATTGGCCACATGACTCTAGATTTCAGGGGAAGGGCTGAAGCTCAGATTACAAATGTGAGTCATGCATGCAAAGAAAATGTCAAAATCCGTGTCCAGGAGGCCATCATGGGGGACGGGGGTCCGGAGGGGAGGGTCAGGGCAGATGGAGAAGCAGAGTGAGGGCTGAAGCCTGAGATGTGGCTGCAGTTGGAGTTTGAGGGAATGAGGAGGAGCTAGCAAAGAGCCCCAAGAAAGAACAGGCAGTGTGAGAGCAGTAAACCCAAGAGTTGTTTCCCTGAGGTCGCGTGAAGACAGTTGCAGGAAGGAGTGATGGGCCCATCAACCCCGATGGAGAGGTTAGGAATGCAAGGCCTGAGGCCTGGGCACTGGATTTAGCAATATGGAGGCCATCAGAGATCCTCACAAAGGCTATTTTGGTGGAAGGGTGAGGACAAGAGAATGGATTTCCAGAAGATAAAGGGAAAGGAAGTAGACACAGGAAGTGTAGCCAACCCCTTTGAAGAGTTCGTTTTCCCAGGGAACACACCGGTGGGAGAGTAGCTGGGGAGCAGTGTGGGCCTGAGGGGAATTTGAATTTAGTCAGTGGAAGAGACTGGCACGTCTGCATATCGACAGCAATGACTCATGAGGGAGGAAGGACTGATGATGGCATGGAGATAGGAGGGGGGCCCGGCCTCCATCACCAGGCAGCACAAAGGGCCCACTTGAGCTTAGCACCAGAAATTTAAAGTAGACATTAGCCTGGGCTCCCCTACTGAGGCTCAGCCATCTGGGGCCCAAGGGGCAGGGTCCTGACTGACTTTTCCCCAGCCAGAGCCAGAAGTTATCGGGGTGGCCTAATGGGTCTCCTAGCTCCTCATCTCCCCCAAGAGGACCAGTTAACTCAGAGGGACAGGAGGTAGAGTGTGGTAGGGGAAGCACCGTTCGTGAGGACAGGGCTGCTGCAAGGGTGTTGGGGAAATTCAGCCATGCCAGGTTGGGGGCACATCTGGGACATATTAGTGGAGGTGCCAGGTGGACACTTAGGTATGGGGTACACATTTCAGGGGTAACTGACCATATAGATTTAACAGAAGCCTGGGTTTGGAGAGAGTATGGGGAAAGGAGTGCAGGGCCTGGGGTTGCATTTTCAGAGTACCCCAGCTGGAGTACTCTCACCCCCATCCCACTCCTGCTCACCCTGTGTTCCCGCTTCCTCACCAGGCATCACCCTCCACTGTCCAGTCTTCTCTTCCTCCCACCTGCTTTCCGGGGCCTGTCAGTTTGACTTGTGACCCACCTGCCTCCTATGCACTCCTCACCTGGGCAGGAAGGCGGGAGGCATGCTGTCTCTCATCCTCAGTGGTGCGCAGCCAGGGCTTGGGGGTGTGGTCCGTTGCCGGGCCCCGTCACCCTGGGGGGAATCTGTTTACTGTTTCTCTGATGCCAGTGCAGGTTCACACATCGGCCCCTGTCACTCACCCTGTTTGCTGTTGGCCTCTCAGGATCCACTAGCAGTTGTCCCCAAGCCCATTGAACCATCTCCATGTCTGTGGACTCCCTGAGGGCAGGGCCCGTGTCTAACCAGCCTTGCTGTCCCCACAGCCCGCAGTGGCCTAGCTCACGGGAAACTGCTGCCAGCGAACTAAATAAGACCACTCTGCTCTTGCCCGCAGTTCATCTCTAGCACTGACCCTCTCCAGAAGGCCCTGAGAGAAGAGGAGAAGCGCCGGAAGAAAGAGGAGAAGCGGAAAGAAATCCGAAAAGGCCCGCGGATCTCGAGATCCCGGTCTGAGTTATAGGCCCATTGTAGCCCAGGGTTCAAGAGGCCAGGGGGAAGAGGAAGAGGCAGCACGGCCAAGGTGAAGCAGCGCTGACTGCTTGGTGGTGAGAGCTGGCCCTTGTGAAGGGAGGCCCTGTTTGCTTGGCCCCCTGGAGCTGGCTTTGAGGCCCAACTGAAGAGGCTGGGCTACAGAGGGCTGGATTTCCTCCCAGGGGCTTCCCTGGAGGGAGCGTGGAGGGGACCTTCAGGGGACACTGTGCTGCAGATCTAACCCTGTGGAGATGCTGGGGGAGGTAGGAGGGGTCCAGGGCTGTACCCTTCCAGCGGATGAGGACTGATGGCCGGCTGGCTGCTGCCCTTTATGGGGAGGTAGCAGAACCAGGCTCCGAGCCATGTGTGGTGGTGCCAGTGTCACTGAGCCACATGGCATGAGTTCCAGCCCCCTGCAGAGATGCAATAAAAGCCAGCCAACCCTCTGGGCAAGTCACAGCTGGTTTGGGCCCCAGGTAGCTATGAAGCCCTTTACCAGGTGGGTAACCAGAGGCCCTCAGAGACGTACTGAGCACCTGAGAGTATGTTCCCATCTCATCAGGAGAGCCCCAGGCCCTTGGGAGGTGGGGGAGGAGGGGCAGTGAAGCAGGGCCTTGGTTTGGCCCCCTAATCCCTTCTTAGCACTGTCCTTGAAGGATCAGTGTTGGAAAGGGACAGGAAGGGTCCTAGGAATGTGTTTATCCAAAGTGACCATGGAGCAACATGATCTCTCTCCTCTACTATCTGGGGACAGTCATAGAACAGGCACAGGGAAGCGTTAGTCTATTCTCTCTGGCAATGCTGGGAGACCCTCAGCCTTTGGGCAGGGGGTAGGGGGACAGGCTGCAGCTCTGCAGAAGGCTATGCTTTGTGATGGCAAAGCTGCTCCAAGCTTGATTCATCAGACGGTGAGCTCTCTGGTTCAGGATGCATGCGAGCAGAGACCTGTGCCACAGGGCAGGGAAGGCGCAGAGGCTCTGAGGGAGCAGCTGCCCTTCAGTTGTGCTCTTCCCAGGGAGAGGAGGGAGGGGCTCTGGAGGGAATTCTAGCTCTGTCTCTTTGACCTTGGCAAGCCAGGGCCTGCCTCTTAACAGGGGAGAGATGTAACTTTCCTGAACCCACCACCACTACCACCACTATCAAAGCCCAAGGGAGACCCAAGTCTTGTCTCAGCCCATCAGACTTGCTGAGTGAGCCTGGCCCACCTCTTGTCTGTGCTGTGGCTTCATTGACCAAATGAATTTGATAATGTCTGAATTGCTTGCCTAGCCCTTCTCCAAGGCTGGGGTCTGCCTTTTCAGTGACAGGTGGCCTTCTCGGATGGTTCTTCATTGTTCTATAAATTTGCTAAGCACCCACTGTAAGCACAGCCAGAGAGAGGGGTCCAGTCTTCACCTCTGCCCTATCTGGTACCTTTATGCTCCTGGGCTCCTCCTAACACATCTTCCGCCTCTCTCCATCTTGGTCGATATCTTCCTCTCCATCTTCAAACCCCATCTGACACCATCAGAGAAACAGACAGAATCACCTACTTCCCCTTTCTCCTTCCTGTTGCTGCACTGTTGATTGTTGTGGTCACTCGTTCCTGAAACTCCACCTTGAGTCTTACTGTACGCAGAGCCTGTCCACCTCCCCCGCTGGAAGCTGTAGAGACCCAAGGGTACTGTTTGTCCAGCCTCCTTGCCTCTGGGATTCAGTTATGTGGCTGAAATGCCATCACCAGCCTGTGTGAGTGGCGCTGGTAGAAGCAGTGGCCCCAGGGGTGCCCAATGATGTCTTCAGTGTTGCTTTTAGTGTGGTCTTAGATTTTGTTCCTGTGTTGAGTTTCCAGGCCTGATCTGAGACACCCATGGAAAGTCTTGGAGTTCCCAATATCCCCTAAGGCAAGTCTTCTCATCAGTGGCACTGTTTACACTTGGGGCCACATACTTCTTTGCTGTGACTGTGAGGAGGGCTGTGTGTATTATAGGATACTTAGCAGCATTCTTGGCTGCTCACTAAATCTGTAGTGATCTCCCAGTATGACATCCAACCACATCTCAGACACTGCTAAATGTGATATGGGAAACTTTGAAAAACCTCTGTTTAACCTTTATTTGCCCAGGCGCCAGGCGCCCTAGAGAGAATGATGGGGCCGTCTGGGAGGGCGGGTGGCCAGATAGTGAGGACTGGAACTAGCACCCCTGCTGATAGAACAATTATCACATTCTGCTTCTGTATCCCACATTTGTCACTTAGACAGGAAGACCCCTAATCTATATATTCCCCAAGAAACTTTTGTTCGGGGCTCAGAATTTGGAGACTTACTCCTCTGGGCCCATGCACTTTAAGTAATAAACCTCGTACTCCAGAATCCCTCGGTGTCTGGTCGCTTCATTTTCCTATAACAGGTGTCCCCTGGGAGCAAAGCATTCCTGGCCTACCCACTACCCTTCTTCCTCCCTACTGCAGCCCCCATCCTCCTCTGCCGACTCCCGTTGCTGCCCACAGAGTGATACTGTTGATCCGCCCAGGCTTCTGGGCCACCGTGTTGTCCTGGTTCTCTGCCCTTGGTCTGAGCCTGCTCTGTCTCTTCCTGATCCATCTTTCCTCACCTGCGCCTTAAATAAAGAGGTTTTTGTTTGTTTTTTGGGTTTTTTTTTTGGTTTAGTCTCCCCCGTGCTCTTCTTGACAGCTGCATCCTCTAATACCACAAAGCTCATGGCACTTGTCCTGTTGCTACCCGATAACCCTCAGTCCTGATGTTTCAGCTTATCCAAAATCAAATGTATTTCCCACCCTAAAGCCTCACCTCTATGTCAAATCATGGAGTACTCACTCTTGCTTAACCCTGGAAGGAATGATATCAAAGCTGAATCCAGAAAGATTAGTGAAGGAGGGAGAAGGGAACAAGTTCTGGGAACAGAGGCCTGTCAGTGTAGGCATCAAAAGTAGTGAATGGAAAAACATGCCAAGTTCTCTCTATGACCTCTAGCAAGTGCCCAGTCCGTGGTTGGTATCTGGACATAATGGTCATTTAGTGCAGTCTCTTCCTTTCCCAGATGAAGAACCCAGATTCTGAGGAGTGACTCGTTGGAGGCTGGTCCACCCTGTGGAGTCCGTCTTGGTTCTCCCAGCCAAGGCAAGATGCCAGCTCAAGGAGCTGTTCAGTTAGGTGAGGTCCAGGCCAGAAGGAGAATGTCAGTACTTTCCTGAGGCTGGGTCTAGTGCCATCATCTTCCATAGTTTCTACGGAGCTTCATTTATGTTCCCTTCAGGCTGCCTCGCTAGGAACCGGGGCCTCTGGGCAGGTCCAACTGGGAGCTGTGGGAACAGCTGCAGAAAGGGCAGTGCTGTGTCCACCTACTCAACCTGATGCTCCTGCAGCCCTCTGTGGGGGGTAACTGAGACTGGGGGATGGGAGGGCACTGGACCAAAGTGAGTCATAGGGTGGGCCAGCAGATGGTCACCTCCACAGTGTAGGGAGCCCTGTGAGAGCCACTGAGAGGCGCAGTTGATGGTCACACTGTCCAGCTCAGTGCCAGGTCCAGAGCAGGGTAGCAGGGTTTGGTTTTCTGTCTCAGAGTGAGACTGGTGTAGTGAACACCAGCTCTCCAACATGTAATAATGAGAACATTCTTGTCTTTTTTCCCCAAAGTAAGACTTTATTTATGTTATACAAGTGTATTATAAAAAGTATATTGAACTATCAAGAAGAAAGTAAAATTCACCCTAAACCCACTGTTCCCATAACCTTGACTGGCACTCAGCTGTTGGGCCTTCTATCCGTTTGCCTTTCATGTGAGCAAATAAATCCCTGTTTTTTCTATTAAAAAGCTACCTTGTGTGGGCACTTACTATACTGCGGGCACTTATGCCAAGTGCTGCTGGCACAGCTGCTCCTGCCTCGGGGCCCTGGTCCATGTCGTCCATTGCCTCAGCCACACCACACGCGCTCCTCTCCTCATAATTGTAGTTTCATCTTAAATGGCAAAGGCCCTTCCTGACAATCCCACGTCAGTTTCATCACACCTGTTACTTTCCCTTGATCACTGGTACTATTATGTTACTTATTTTGTTTGTTTGACATCTGTTTTCTTCACTGGACTGGAAGCTCTCAGAGGGCAGGAACTATTTCCTGCCACAGAGGTGTTCAACAAATGTTATGAAATGAATGTGCAGGTGACCCTCACAACTATGAGAGGGCACTATTTCCATTTGTAAAATTTTTAAAATTTATCTTTAGAAGGGAAGGGAAGGAGAGAGGGAGAGAAATATCAATGTATGGTTGCCTCTTGTGCATCCCCTGCTGGGAACTGGCCTGCAACCCAGGCACATGCCCTGATGGGGAATCAAACCATGATCTTTTGGTTCGCAGGCCCATGCTCAATCCACTGAGCTACACCAGCCAGGTCCATTTTAGAGATGACAAAACCAGGGCTTACAACAGTCAAACTGCCCAAGGTCACACTGCATGAGTGACTCCCTATATCTGCCTCCACGCAGCTTCTGTGCTTGTAAGTCCTGACCACAAAGCAACAGCTGCCTCTCATACTCATAGGGAATATACTTTTCCCTTTTAACAATATATTGCAGCCCTGACTGGTGTGGCTTAGTGGATCCAGTGCCAGCGAGGGAACAGTCAAGGAGTTCAATACCTGGTCAGGGCACATGCCTGTGTTGTGGGCCAGGTCCCCATATGGGGGCGTTTGAGAGGCAACCGATTGATGTTTCTCTTGCTCCCTCTTTTCCCCTCCCCCTCTCTCTGAAAACAATAAAATCTTTAAAATACCCAATATATTACAAAAGTCTGTCAATAGCTGTACATTTAGCCACATAATGTTTAATGACGCCATGGTATTCCATTGTGTGGTTGTCATTTATTCATGCAGTTCCTTATTGGGGACAGTTACAAAGGACTTGCCTACTTGTTTGAGCACTCGTTCTTTTATTCTGTAGGGTAAATCCTTAGACGCTTGCATATTTGTTTTACATCGTGACTAGCTCCAGGATGGGGGCAATGGGGTGCTTGAAGGAGTGGGAACCTGTGGGTCGGCTATGCGTCAGAATTCCTGCGCAACTTTAGCAAAATGCTCATGCCGCGCCCGCCTCAGCAGGCTCGTGGTAGCACGGGCACTGGCATCGTTTTAAAGGTCCGCAGGCGATTCCGAGGTACCCGGGGTGAGATCCGGAGGAAAAAGCGCGTGGTCGCGGCAGGTGCGAAGGCGCAGAGGTGGTCAGCGTGCTCCGTACTTGGACAATTCGTAGTCCACGTCGAGCCTCAGTTTCCGCCTCCGTAGGGGGCGTGGGAGGAACGCGGTTTGAAGGGTCTCCGGACTGTTCTGGGGCCCAGCGTTTGGGGGCCAGGTTCGATTACACTAGCAGTCCCAGGCGGGAATGCGGCGGGGTAGCTGGGACGATGACGTAATGTGCTCACTGCCTGCTCTGGGACTGACTGGCGGGCGGGGGGTGGAGCTCGTTAACTCTGCAATTCCCGGCGGGTGGATGGAATAGCTTGCGGAGCAGACCCAACGTAGAGGAGAGAGGCTCCTTTAAACTAGGGGAAGGAGGCTGGGCCGAGGACCAGGAGGCTTTTGTTCGCATTCGCTACCACACCGTGAGGGGAGGTGTTTTGCTATGCAAATCTGAGCTGCTGATCGCTGACGCGCAATCACCCCACGCGCGGCTTTGCTCGCCGATTGGCCGTGAAGAGCCTGGTCCCATTGACAACAAACGCGGGTACGTGCGACCTGGGGGCGGGGCCGCAGAGGGCGCGGATTGGGGCGGGGGAATCCCGCCCCGCCCCTCCCGCGCAGCGCAAACATGGCGGAGGGTGACACCGGCCGGTGAGGCGGTGCCGGGCGGAGGCTGTAGGGTGTCATGGGTGGTGGCAGCGGCACCGCCTCCGCGTCTTCCTGAACAGGCCGGCTAGGAGGCCTCTGCGCCGAGCCGGGCGATGGACGAGAGCGGCGAGTTGGGCGGTCTGGAGACCATGGAGACGCTCACCGAGCTGGGCGACGAGCTGACCCTGGGGGATATCGATGGTGAGTGGTGGGTGGGTGAGTGGGAGTGCGGGGGCGCGCGGGGAGGAAGGGGTTACAGCGGCGCGCGCGGGTGCGCGTGCGCCCCCCGCCCGGAACCCCGGCTCGCGCGGGGAGAACCGGCACACGCGGTCCCCCCGGAGCTCCCCAGGCTTTCCGGGCTCTGTGGGTCTGAACCCCGGCCGGGGTTCCTACTGGCCCTCCGTTCCTACTGGCCACAGGATCCGCTCCCGGGATCCGCGTGTCTTTAAGCGAAGCGAGGGTCGTGAGGCAGGGGGCGCGGAGCCCGGGGCGTCCCGGTGGTCCGGTGGGAGCGACCCGACAAGAGCGCGCAGCCGCCTCCTCCCTCGCGCGCCTACACACGCCTCCCCAGGTCCCACTCTCCCGCCGCCAGCGACCCAGCGTTGTACCTGTCACTCCCCGCCCGAAGCGGGGGCGGCTTTGGGATCCCCGGACTCCGCGCCCGCAGCCCCGGTCCTCTGGGGTGGACCCACGGCGGGGTCTTCGGCGCTCGGGAAACTTTGGGCAGCGAGTGGCTGCAGAAGCAAGTTGTTGATGAAGCAAGGGGTGGCGGCGGCGGAGTCTGCACGCATCTCGGTGGCATGGAGACCCGAGTGCTCCTGCTGCCGCGCTGCAAAGGGAGTTGAGCAGCAGGAATTTTGAGTTGTGGCCCCTCGGGGACAGGCTGGGGAGCGGGTAGCCTTTGTTCCAGCGGCCTTAACAGCGGAGTGGAAGAGCTGGTAGGAGCCCAGAGATCCTCTCTGAAATGCTCTCACTTTGTTACCATTGGACCCCAAAGTTTGGAGAGAATCAGCGACCTGCCCAAGGTCACCCAGCTGATTACAGAGCCCAGTTCCTGGGCCAGTGTTGGTGTCTACATCAGGCTTCCGTCTGACCTTTGGGGGTGAGAAGTCCATCGAATACGTTTGTAATGATAACTCTGAATAGTTGGGCTCTTGTGATGTTCTAGTCCCCAGATATTTGATACTTTATATTGTTTCACTTATTCCTCACTACAGTCCCGTAAGACAGATATTCTTACTTCTATTTTTTACAAGAAATTGAGTCTAGGAGATGTTAACTTGATAAGGTCACTCACCTTAGATTGTCCAGAACTTAATGCTCTTAAGCAGTATCTCAGGTGCATTGTGCTCTTTGCAAAGCACTTTTCGAACCTGGGATCTCAGTTCAGCCTTGCAGCAGGTATGATGGCTCCATCATACCTGCAGATTGTCTTCTAGGGGAAGAGATGAGTGGCAGCAGCTAATTGAAAAGGATCAGTTTCCCATTTTGTTTCTATAACATTTTTACACTTTGGCCTATCTTTGCATTCTATTTTTGGTCATCTGGGCAGCATGGTTAGACCTTTAATTGAAGCCCCAAGTCTAACCACAGTCTTTTCCACTAAGTGCTGCTAAAACAGAGATGTATTAATAAGTGGGGGAGGGTAGTTTTTGGAACTTAACAAGGGCAGCTAAGTTTTGAGCACTTCATGCCAGGCACTCTGTTAGGTATTCATATACCTCAATGTTCTCAATTTTTAACAGGTACTGCCAGTCTACTCTCACAGATCCTGGAACTGAGGCCCAAGGTAGTTTATTAATTTACCTAAGGTCACACAGCCAGTAAGAAGTATGTCTGAACTGCCTACCAGGATGTTCACACCTAGAAATTTGGGTCTATTTTGCATTCTCATTTCATAATCCATCTCTACTTGTTTTGATTTGTAACGTGTTAAATTACATAGTGGTTAAGTATTAACTTTGTCCCCAGAGATTTCTAAGTATAGCGTACATTCTGGAAATTACCACAGTGGTTCAATGGCTTCATAGGTCCCCATACCAGATTTGGGGGAAAGTGGCTCCCTGTGTCTAATTGGCCAAGAAGTGCTAGTTGTGGTTTCTGGGCTGTAGGGACGATGAGAGATAGTATATAGGCAATTTTTTGGCCTCATGGAGCTTGAGATGAATAGCAGTAAAACTATAGTTGCTGAATATAGAATAGCTCACTATTGCACACAGCAGTAAGTGAAAGTATCAAGGGAGCTTGATGAAGGCCGGCTTATCAGGAAGATTACACCAAGGAGAGCCCTTCCCCTGGGCCTTGGAGGACAAGAACGGTTGGGCAGACTGAAGGCCAGTGGTCTGCAGGTGCCAATATCCCTGAATACTTACTCATCCATTCTGCCTCCAGAACATCAGCACCATGAGGACAAGGGCCTTTTGTTTTATTCACACTGTATTTCTTGCACCTAGAACTATTTGTGGAATGCCTGAATGAACCCAGAACCTTGAACTGGGCAGGATTCTAGGGGTTTGGATTAGATCAGGGGTAGCCAGCTCAGATGCTTCTAGGTGCTAGTCAGATGAGGAAGAAAAAAGATTCTGGATATGAAACACACACACACACACACACACACACACACAGAGTTGTGTGTGTGTGGTAGGGGAGAAGGGATAATTCCAACGTAGAGAGCTCATACCTGCCTCTTGGATCCATGGCGAATTCTTCAGTAGCCATCACTGGCCCTGCTATAGTTCACTAGGATGTGGACCAAAGGAGGCCATATCACTTATTAAGCAGAAGGGAGGGAGAAAGAGAGAGAGAAACATCAATGTGTGGTTGCCTCTTATGTGGCCACCACTTGGGATCCGGCCAGCAACCCAGGCATGTGCCCTGAATGGGAATCGAATTAGTGAGTCTTTGGTTCGCAGCCCGTGCTCAATCCACTGAGCTACACCAGCCAGGGTCTAAGCACATCTCTTGAGTAGCTTCTAAGTACCCCCCGTGATGGACAAAGTGCTGAGAATAGCTTTGAACGAGACATCCAAGGTCTCTTCTCTTTTAGGAAACTTCAGTTCTTGAGGGAGGAAATAAGCTAAACAAATAAAATAACACTGTTGGCATAGCTCTATGAAAATAAAATGGGCCCATGTTATAGAGAGTGACTAGTAGCTAAGTTTATTTTTCTTTTTTTTTTTCTTTTTTTTTAAAGATTTTATTTATTTATCTTTAGAGAGGAAGGGAAGGAGAGAGGGAGAGAAACATCAATGTATGGTTGCCTTTCATACATCCCCTGCTGGGAACTGGCCTGCAGGGAACCGGCCTGCAACCCCAGTATGTGCCCTGACTGGGAATTGAACCGCGGTTGTCTGGTTCGCAGGCCTGCGCTCAATCCACTGAGCTACGCCAGCCAGGGAAGCTAAGTTTAAATTGAGTAGGTCAAAGAGGCCTCAGCAGAGTGATCAGCATCTCTTCTTCAAGAGATGCCCAAGTCTGGATTTTTTACAAGATTTTATTTTATTTTTTAGGAGGAGTGGAAGAGAGGGGAAGAAACATCAATGGGTTTCCTCTTGCCTGCTCCCAACTGGGGACCTGGCCCTCAACCCAGGCATGTGCCCTGACCAGGAATTGAACTGGCAACTGTTCAGTTTGCAGGCTGGCGCGCAATCCACTGAGCCACATCAGCCAGGGCCCCAACTCTGGATTTTTATGTGAAATATCCAGATTTCCAAATATTGGCCCAACAAAGCATGTGTGTTAATAGGTCTCCAGTGCCTTGTTCCGCTGCAGAATGCTTAGTTGTCACAGGCCACCAGGCCTCTTATGATAGGATATCTAAAGTATTTGTGTGTGTGTGTGTGTGTGTGTGTGTGTGTGTGTGTGTGTGTGGTAGGTGTCTGTATTGTGAGACACTGTGATAAGCCAGGTCTTCTGCAAAAGCAGAGGCAGGATTTTCTTCCACCGGGATCAGGAAAGAAGGCACAGTCGTTAGAGGGTTTTTGCTGGACCCAGAAAGAGGGGTGGCAGAAGCAGCATGACAAATGTGGAAAGAGAACAATCAAAAAATAAGTTATCACAAGCAAGTTCTTGGAATAGAGGGTGTGCGTTAGGAAACAGAAGATAAGTTCTGAAAGGTGACTCGGAGCCAAATTATGGGGAGTTTTCATACCAGACACATGTTTTGTGGAAAGTAGCGAAGGTACGATGTTAATCATGGGTTTAAGGAAATTCAACTGTGGTGATGAGCAAGGAGGATTGGAGTCGGGGAAGCCAATTAGGAGGGAACTGCGGCCATCCAGGTATGAGCTGGTGCTAAGAGGGTGATGGGACTTGGGTGGGAAGTAGCCTTTGTGCAGGTTGCCTTTACAGGACAAGTTGATAAGACAGGACATGGCCTCTGAAGGCTTGGATCTGAAGACAGAGCAGAGCTGGAATTCTAAAATTCAGAAGCCAGTAGGAAGAGCTGGTTTGGGCAGATGACAGTTAGTCTTAAATGAACTGAAATTGAGGTGCATGGAGGATCATCCACTAGGAAATGGAAGGCAGGTTCTTGGGAGGAGGTCAAAACTGGGGATCGAGGAGTAGGCAGTGTGGGAGAGGATGGAAATGGGAGGCCAGACCAGGTGAGGGAAGTGCCATAACTGATGGGAGGTAAGCATTTTGAGGGGTGATCATGGATGATGGAGACATTGCTGCTGAGGACAGTAAGGATGACAAGGCCAAGCCAGGAGCCATGGGATCTGGCAGTCAGGAGGTCAGCCTTTGACGGTAGTCAGATAAGGGAATATAAGGCTAGATAAACCAGAAGGGAGGCAGGGGTGAGTTAGGCTATGGACAAGGAGAGGCAGCTATTCTCTTCAGAGATGGTTAGCGAAACTTGAGCGAGCTAGTCTACTTACTGTCTTCATGGATTTGCCTATTCTGGGCATTTCATTACAAATGAATTCATATACTATGTGGTATAGTGTTCCGGTCCATCCGCGTTGCTACATAGTGTTCAGTTGTATGGATACAGCACGTTGTTTATCAGCTCGTCAGTTGATGCGCATTTAGGTTATTTCCACTTTTTGGCTATTATAAATGAAGCTGCTGTGAACATTTGTGTAGACATTTTTTCATTTCTCTTGGGTAGATCCTCTACATTTTTTGTTGGTGTTTGTGTTTTTCTAGGGTTTGTGATAGCCCCATTTATTCACTTGCTCACTTCCCATGTTTCCGTA